GGGGGGGGGGGGCATGCATTCGGAAAGTTTGTTGCTGCTGCACGCGATGAGGCCGACCGCGAACCGCCCGCGGCCGGCTCGACCGGTGCGGGCGACTCACCGAGCACGCGCAGCCGGATCTCGGCGGTTTCGGTGTCGCCTTCCGCGCTCACGACGCTGACGCTGAAGTCTCCGTTGTCGGCCGTCGTGAGCGCGCTCAGCTGCAGCGCGCCGCTCCGGGCGTCCACGGACACGCGCCCCAGGTAGGGCGAGTTCACCTTGAGTCCGGCGGGGCCCACGGTGGCCACGTGACTCTGCTCGCGGCCGTCGTTGAAGTTCCAGATGATGAACGTGTACTCGGGATCCACCAGCAGCGTCCGCAGGGTCACGTTCTTCCCCACCGAGGCGTCCACGGGGCCCGGCGGCAGAATGTCGCGCGCCTCCGCGCACCGCCATCCTGCGGAGGGGGGAGGGAGCGGGAACGGCACGCGTCCAGCGGGTCAGTCCCACCGAACCGGACGCGGCGCCGTCACCGCCCCTGCACGCGAGCGAGCGAGCGCTTACCCGACAAGCCGAGCAGGAGTCCAACGATGATCGTCGTCGTCGTCATGGTCGTCGTGCAGCGGAGAGCAAGAATGCAAAGGCAGGTCTTCGCTCCTTCGCGGACACACCCAGCCAGGTGAGCCCGCGCCTGCGCGCTCTGCGCAGGAGGCGGGGCCACGCCCGAAGTCAGTGACTCATTCACAAATTCCGGAGCAACTCTTAAAGAAAAAGCCAAAAATGGCATTCCACGCGAAGGAGCCCAGCACTTTCATTGTGGACTTGGCCTTCCGCCCCCGGGGTCAGCTGGGCCTGGCCTGAGTACCGCAGTCCATCGTTGCTCTTCAACACAACCGGCCCGTTTAGAATCCACCCGGGTGAGACTTTGTGGAAGCTGAAATGCCTTTTATTTGCATTCGCATCATTAGCATAAGGAATCATCGGGGAGAAGAACCACAGTTATTCAACTAAAAAGAAAAGCTACACATTGGCTTCGTCATGGCGGTGCTGCAGCTTCTCCGTCAACCAACAAGCAGAGGTCAGAGGTCACATTGGCCCCACTTCCTTTGTCAGAGGAAAAGCTCAAATGCAAAGTGACGTCCTGCTTATTTGGTTGACAAACACACGTGGCAAAACCTTTTTCTTATGAGCTCTCTTTTTTGGAACAAACGTTCAGGCTCGCTAAAGTCTTCAAGTCATTGATTGGGCTTCACATTCGAATCTGTGCCGTTTCATGCCTTATTGCTGCACGAGGAGCTGCCAGCTGACTCGATGCCCCTGCGGGATTTCGCATACCAATATGGTACAAAAGCTGCTGGTGGTGCGCGGGTGGCCGCAATCAGCGGCCGGACGGTTCCGACGCGATCAAAGTGGGCACGTCGGGAAGGAACAGAGGCTTGGGCGGCAGCTTGGGCTTGAGCGAGACGGCGCGGCGTACGGCGCTAGCGTTCGTGACCTGAACGTTGGCGCGCCGCAAGTGGACTCCTTCGCTGTAACTGTGCTGACGCGTCAGGCAGGTCGCCGCCGCCGCCCGCCTCCAGGCCCCGCGG